ACGGCTTTATATGTCAGTGTTAGTGTTTTGAATTTTATTTGTTGGGCAACTGGAAGCCAGTGGAGGGATTGGCAGAGAGGGGTGGAGGATGCTGAATGGAGGTCAGTGGAGGGATTAGCAGAGAGGGGGGTGGAGGACACTGAGTGGAGGCCAGTGGAGGGATTAGCAGAGAGGGGTGGAGGACACTGAGTGGAGGCCAGTGGAGGGATTGGCAGAGAGGGGTGGCAGATACAGAACGGTTGGTAAGGTGGATGAGACTGGCAGCAGCATTCATGATAGACTGAATTGGGGATAGCCTTCAATGAGGTCAGCCAATGAGGAGGGAGTTATAATAGTCGAGGCGTGATATGACAAGGGAGTGAATACGTTTCTTAGTGGTTTCTGAGGTTAGGAATGGTCGTATCTTGGAGATGTTGCGGAGTTGAAGTCTACATGATTTTGTCAGCTTTTGTCCTGGGGCTGGAAGGATAGATGGGAGTCTAGGATTACACCTAGTACCCTGACATGAGGGGATGGACTGATGGTTGTGTTATCAATCTTGATGGTGAAGTCAGTGGAGGGGGCACGGGCTGGAGGGAATACTAAGAGATCAGTTTTGGAAAGATTGAGTTTGAGGAAGTGGAGTGACATCCAAGCCGATATGTCACTTAGTAGGCTAGCGATGCGAGAGGAGACTGAAGGGGTGAGGTGAGGGGTAGACAGATAGAGTTGCGTGTCATCAGCATAGAGATGGTAATAGAAGCCATGGGGGTTTATCAAGTGACCAAGGGAGGAGGTGTAGATGGAGAAGAGAAGGGGTCCAAGGACAGAACCTTGAGGGACCCCTACAGAGAGAGGGAGTGAAGAGGAAGTGGCAGCATTGTAGGAAACACTGAAGGAGTGCTGCGATAGATAGGAGGAGAACCAGGAGAGAGCGGAGTCTCTGAGGCCAAGAGAGTGTCGTTTTTTGAGGAGGAGGGGATGGTCAACCGTATCAAAAGCCGCAGAGAGGTCGAGTAGTAGGAGTATTAAATAGTGGTTGTAGGTTTTAGCAGTTAGTAAATCATTAGTGAGTTTTAGTAGGGCAGTTTCAGTGGAGTGTAGAGGGCAAAAGCCAGACTGTATAGGGTCGAGAAGGTTGTTGTCGTTGAGGTGGGAGCTCAGGTGATTGTAGACTAAGCGTTTTAGGAGTTTAGAGGTAAATGGCAGCAGGGAGATGGGTCTTAAGTTGTTCAGGTCGGTGGGGTCCAGGGAGGACTTTTTAATTATGGGAGTGATGTGCGCATGCTTTAGAGTGGAGGGAAAGGCACCAGTAGAGAGGGAAAGATTGAAGATGTGAGTGAGGGAGTAAAGGATGGAAGAGGAGGGTGACCGAAGTAGTTGTGAAGGGACTGGGTCCAGGGGGCAGGTGGTGAGGCGGGCTTCTGAGAAAACCTTAGTGACCTCATTGGTAGTAGCGAGGTCAAAAGAGGAAAGTGTTGAGGGAGGTTTAGTATGAGGAATGCTAAGTGGGGTGGATGTCTGTGCAGTGGCGATGTCCCTATGTATTGCGTCGATCTTGTTTTTTAAGTGGTTTGCAATCTCGTGGGCAGTGAGTGAGGTACTAGGTGAAGGTGGAGGCGGAGAAAGTAGAGAGTTAAAAGTAGAGAAGAGCCGACGAGGACTGGAAGAGAAGGTATTAATGAGAGTGACAAAGTAGGCTTGTTTAGCAGCGTGGAGGGAGGAAGTGTATGTTAAGAAGGCAGATTTATATCAGGTGAACGTGTCAGGAATGGACTGCCAGCAATGGTGGGACTCACCTGCCTTATGAGCTGCAGTACCAGGGCTGGCCAGCGGGTGCTCCCAGCAATCAGAGACTCAACCTTGCAGCCAGTCAAACACCTGGAACTGATTATACTGGTGTATTTAAGGGATGGCCAGACCTGCAGACTCTGCCTTGGTGTGTGTTTCTCCTGGGCCCTGTATCCTGTTCCTGCTCCCTGTTCCTGTTCCTGTCTGATTCGTTGCTGACCCTGCTCTGATCCCTGGCTTTGTCTGACCATTCTCCTCTGCCTGACCCTCTGTACCACGCTGCCCGCTACCTGCTGAACCTGGCTTGTGACCCCGACCATTCTCCGCTTGCTCCCCCTGTACCTACCTGCCCGATTGATATTGACCCGGCCTGCCTGACGACGCTTGCATTGTATGTACTGTCATCTGTGGGTGGTTGGTTTGGTTGTTTGCACTGTATTATGTTTTAGTATTGCACTGCGTTTATGTTTGTATTGTTAGTGTTAATAAATTATATTGTTTATAACATATCTGAAGTCTGCGTTTCCCTGCGTCGGTCACACACCTCTGGTCATACCCGGGAGCCCTGACATTACACCAAGGCCAATCCTGACCAGAAGTGGCTGCACAGGGAAGCCATCTTGGTTTGTTGATGGGAAGGATGGATCTTGATGAGGTTGAGTATTTATATCTGCTAGTGTTTGATGACAGGGAGTATGCTTATCAAACTCTGAAGGAGTATCCCCGGGATGAACTGCTAGAATGTATACGGCTCGCTCATGTTCTAGTACAGGGGTGGGCAAACTTTTTGACTTGAGGGCCGCAATGGGTTCATATATTGGACCCGGGGGCCGGACCAAGAGTAGATGAATGATGTGTATGTGTCATCCATAGTAAGTATAGTAATATTCCCCCATAGTAAGCATAGTAATTAATCCCCCATATAGTAATTCATCTCCCATAGTAATTCATCCCCCATATAGTAATTCGTCCCCCATATAGTAATTCGTCCCCCATATAGCAATTCATCCCCCTTATAGCAATTCATCCCCCATATAGTAATTCATCCCCCATATAGTAATTCATCCCCCATATAGTAATTCATCCCCCATAGTAATTCATCCCCCATAGTAATTCATCCCCCACATAGTAATTCATCCCCCATATAGTAATTCATCCCCCCATAGTAATTCATCCCCCACATAGTAATTCATCCCCCACATAGTAATTCATCCCCCATATTAATTCATCCCCCATATTAATTCATCCCCCATATTAATTCATCCCCCATATAGTAATTCATCCCCCATATAGTAAGTCCCCCATATAGTAAGTCCCCCATATAGTAATTCATTCCCCATATAGTAAGTCCCCCATATAGTAATTCATTCCCCATATAGTAAGTCCCCCATATAGTAATTCATTCCCCATATAGTAAGTCCCCCATATAGTAATTCATTCCCCATATAGTAAGTCCCCCATATAGTAATTCATCCCCCATATAGTAATTCATTCCCCATATAGTAAGTCCCCCATATAGTAATTCATTCCCCATATAGTAAGTCCCCCATATAGTAATTCATCCCCCATATAGTAAGTCCCCCATATAGTAATTCATTCCCCATATAGTAAGTCCCCCATATAGTAATTCATTCCCCATATAGTAAGTCCCCCATATAGTAATTCATCCCCCATATAGTAAGTCCCCCCATATAGTAATTCATTCCCCATATAGTAAGTCCCCCATATAGTAATTCATCCCCCATATAGTAAGTCCTCCATATAGTAATTCATTCCCCATATAGTAAGCCCCCCCTGTGTCAATTCACTTACCTTTGCTCCTCCGCGCGTTCCTCTCGTATTCCCGCGCCGTTCTGGTCTTCAGGGAGGACTGTGAGAGAAGAGTTCGTCACGCTGCCCCGCCTACATCCTGGCTGCCCGCCTACATCCTGACAGCTGCAGAGTCCTGACGCCCGAGAGGAGGGAGGGGGCGGCCATCCTAGAGGGGGGGCGGCCATCCGAGAGGAGGGGAGGGGAGAGGAGGAGAGGAGGTCGCCCGCCCGCCCGAGAGGAGGGAGGGGAGCGGGCGCCCGGCACACAGGAGAGCCGCATCTATTGTAAAGAGCCGCGGCTTGCCGACCACTGGCCTTGCGGGAGCCTAGCTCCGCGGGCCGGATTAAAAGGTCCGCCGGGCCGTATACGGCCCGCGGGCCGTAGTTTGCCCATTGCTGTTCTAGTAGATCAGGGCACATAATTCTCTGAGGTGCAGCCATTGATTCAGATTTGTGCGGAGTTGGTTTCATCTGGTACCCCCGAATGCAGGGATGAATTTTTGCCGCCATTTAGTGCCGACCAGGTAGAGTCCCTGGTGTGGGTATTCGAGGATGATGTGGATTGCTTCTTGGAGCATTATGCTGCATGTTCACCACAGATACTAAGAGATTGTATAAACGCAGTGCAGTTTTTGGTCAGACAGGCTTTGTGTAAGCTCAGCTTTGTTCAACCCATACTGCAGACATGGACAGACTTGTTGCACCCAGCCTCAGTCAGCCTACAAAAACCCAGTCTATTTCCTCAAAGCTCTATTCCTGCATTCCCAACAGCTCCTCCTGCCCTGCTATCTACCGCATGTCAGTCCCCTGTTCCCACTCACTGCACCTATCCTGCCTTTAACCCTGTAAAGAAGCCCTCTGTAGCAACTGCTCCCTCCTCTGTTCCATCCTCCAGCTCTTCTCTGTCTCCAGTTGCTCCATTCGTTTGCAGACCTGCGTTTACTTGCAGTGCTCCAGTAGTTTAAAACCAGAAAAAAGCGAAAATTCTTTCCAACGCCACCAATACCATCCTGCCCCAGTATCCAAACCGGTGAGCCTGCCGTCTGAGAACCTGCCTCCCGTGGTTCAGCCTGGTGCCTTGGCACCCGCACTTCAGCCTGATGCCTGTACCCAGCCTGATGCCTGTACCCAGCCTGATGCCTGTACCCAGCCTGATGCCTGTACCCAGCCTGAGGTCTGTACCCAGCCTGATGCCTGTACCCAGCCTGATGCCTCTCTTCAGCCTGATGCCTCTCTTCAGCCTGATGCCTCTCTTCAGCCTGATGCCCTACTCAGCCTGATGCCTCTACTCAGCCTGATGCCTCCACTCAGCCTGATGCCTCTACTCAGCCTGATGCCTCTACTCAGCCTGATGCCTCCACTCAGCCTGATGCCTCTACCCAGCATGATGAACTGATCCAGCCTGATGATCCTATTAGGCCAGTTGACTCGATGCCCGCTGTTGATCCAGATGATCCGGTACCTGATCCGGTGCCCGCTGTCGTGCCCATTTTGACTCAGAGCCCGCTGTCGTACTGGTGACTCGGTTCCCACTGCCTTGCCAGATGACGCGGTGCCCGCTGGCGAGCCAAATGACCTGATGCCTGGTGACCCAGTGCCCGCTGTCTGGTACCTGGTGACCTGATGCCCGCTGTCAAGCCAGACGATCCAATGCTGGTGGACCCCCGGTGCCCACTACCTTGCCAGATGACGCGGTGCCCGCTGGCAAGCCAAATGACCTGATGCCTGGTGACCCAGTGCATGCTGTCATACCTGGTGACCCGATGCCCGCTGTCGAGCCAGACAATCCGGTACCTGATGACCCGGTGCCCGCTGTCGTGCCAATTGACTCGAGCCCACTGTCGTGCCTGGTGAATTGGTGCCCACTGTCTTGCCAGATGACGCGGTGCCCGCTGTTGAGCCAAATGACCTGATGCCTGGTGACCCGATGCCCGCTGTCCAGCCAGACGATCCAATGTCTGACCCAGTGCCCGCGGTCATACTAGTTGACTCGGAGCCCACTGCCTTGCCAGATGACGCGGTGCTTGCTGTCGCGCAAATGACCTGATGCCTGGTGACCCGATGCCCGCTGTCCAGCCAGACGATCCAATGTCTGACCCAGTGCCAGCGGTCATGCCAATTGACTCAGAGTCCGCTGTCGTACCTGGTGACTCGGTGCCCACACTGCCTTGCCAGATGACGCGGTGCCCGCTGGCGAGCCAAATGACCTGATGCCTGGTGACCCCGTGCCCGCTGTCATACCTGGTGACCCGATGCCCGCTGTCGAGCCAGACGATCCAATGCCTGGTGACCTGGTGCCCACTGCCTTGCCAGATGACGCGGTGCCCGCTGGCAAGCCAAATGACCTGATGCCTGGTGACCTGATGCCCGCTGTCCAGCCAGACGATCCAATGTCTGACCCAGTGCCCGCGGTCCATACCAGTTGACTCGGAGCCCACTGCCTTGCCAGATGACGCGGTGCCCGCTGTCGAGCCAAATGACCTGATGCCTGGTGACCCGATGCCCGCTGTCCAGCCAGACGATCCAATGTCTGACCCAGTGCCAGCGGTCATGCCAGTTGACTTGGAGCCCACTGTCGTGCCTGGTGACTCGGTGCCCGCCGCTCCACCTGGGGGCCTGAGACCTGTCGCTCCGCCTGGGGGCCTGAGACCTGTCGCTCCGCCTGGGGGCCTGAGACCTGTCGCTCCGCCTGGGGGCCTGAGATCTGTCGCTCCGCCTGGGGGCCTGAGACCTGTCGCTCCGCCTGGGGGCCTGAGACCTGTCGCTCCGCCTGGGGGCCTGAGACCTGTCGCTCCGCCTGGGGGCCTGAGACCTGTCTCTCCGCCTGGGGGCCTGAGACCTGTCTCTCCGCCTGGGGGCCTGAGACCTGTCGCTCCGCCTGGGGGCCTGAGACCTGTCGCTCCGCCTGGGGGCCCGGCGCCCGCCGCTCCGCCTGGGGGCCCGAAACCTGTCGCTCCGCCTGGGGGTCCGGCGCCCGCCGCTCCGCCTGGGGGCCCGAGACCTGTCGCTCCGCCTGGGGGTCCGGCGCCCACTGCCTCCGCCTGGGGGCCCGAGACCTATCGCTCCGCCTGGGGGTCCGGCGCCCGCCGCTCCGCCTGGGGGCCCGAGACCTGTCGCTCCACCTGGGGGTCCGGCACCCGCCGCTCCGCCTGGGGGCCCGAGACCTGTCGCTCCGTCTGGGGGTCCGGCGCCCGCCGCTCCGCCTGGGGGCCCGAGACCTGTCGCTCCGCCTGGGGGTCCGGCGCCCGCCGCTCCGCCTGGGGGCCCGAGACCTGTCGCTCCGCCTGGGGGTCCGGCGCCCGCCGCTCCGCCTGGGGGCCTGAGACCTGTCGCTCTGCCTGGGGGTCCGGCGCCCGCCGCTCTGCCTGGGGCCCGATGCCTGTCGCCCCGCCTGGGGGCCCGATGCCTGTCGCCCGCCTGGGGGCCCGATGCCTGTCGCCCGCCTGGGGGCCCGATGCCTGTCGCCCCTCCTGGGGGCCCGGCACCCGCCGCTCCGCCTGGGGGCCCGATGCCTGTCGCCCCGCCTGGGGGCCCGATGCCTGTCGCCCCGCCCGGGGGCCCGGTGCCTGTCGCCCGCCGGGGGCTCCGCCTGGTGGCCCTGCTGCTCCGCCTGGTGGCCGGTGCCTGCTGCTCCGCCTGGTGGCCCGGTGCCTGCTGCTCCGCCTGGTGGCCCGGTGCCTGCTGCTCCGCCTGGTGGCCCGGTGCCTGCTGCTCCGCCTGGTGGCCCGCTGCCTGCTGCTTCGCCTGGTAATCCGATGTGCCTCTGCCCGGAGTCCAGCCCGATGTGCCTCTGCCCGGAGTCCAGCCCGATGTGCCTCTGCCCGGAGTCCAGCCCGATGTGCCTCTGCCCTGAGTCCGGAGTCCAGCCCGATGTGCCTCTGCCCGGTGTGCCTCTGCCCGATGTGCCTCTGCCCGGTGTGCCCCTGCCCGGTGTGCCCCTGCCCGGAGTCCAGCCCGATGTGCCTCTGCCCGGAGTCCAGCCCGATGTGCCTCTGCCCGATGTGCCCTCTGCCCGGAGTCCTGCCCGGTGTGCCGCTGCCCGGAGTCCTGCCCGGTGTGCCAGTCTTTGATATCCCGCCAGTTACCAGACCCGGGCGGTGGAACATTTTGCCCAGCTAGGACTGTTTGGAGCGTCCTGAGGCCGCTCCTTGAGGGGGGGGGGTACTGTCAGGAATGGACTGGCCAGCAATGGTGGGACTCACCTGCCTTATAAGCTGCAGTACCAGGGCTGGCCAGCGGGTGCTCCCAGCAATCAGAGACTCAACCTTGCAGCCAGTCAAACACCTGGAACTGATTATACTGGTGTATTTAAGGGATGGCCAGACCTGCAGACTCTGCCTTGGTGTGTGTTTCTCCTGGGCCCTGTATCCTGTTCCTGCTCCCTGTTCCTGTTCCTGTTCCTGTCTGATTCGTTGCTGACCCTGCTCTGATCCCTGGCTTTGTCTGACCATTCTCCTGCTCCTGATCCCTGGCTTGTCTGACCATTCTCCTCTGCCTGACCCTCTGTACCACGCTGCCCGCTACCTGCTGAACCTGGCTTGTGACCCCGACCATTCTCCGCTTGCTCCCCCTGTACCTACCTGCCCGATTGATATTGACCCGGCCTGCCTGACGACGCTTGCATTGTATGTACTGTCATCTGTGGGTGGTTGGTTTGGTTTGTTTGCACTGTGTTATGTTTTAGTATTGCACTGCGTTTATGTTTGTATTGTTAGTGTTAATAAATTATATTGTTTATAACATATCTGAAGTCTGCATTTCCCTGCGTCAGTCACACACCTCTGGTCACACCCGGGAGCCCTGACAGAACGCTTGGTGGGATTTAGTTTTACGCCATGATCGCTCCAGCGCGCGACTGTGTCGTTTGAGATTTCTGGTGTGGTAAGTCTACCAAGGTGATTTATTCTTCCAAAGCAAATACACTTTTGCACACTGGTACTGACTAGTATTCCAATGTTTCTCTTCTCCCTCAGTTTTTCTCCATCACTGACCTAATGTGACCCTAATATTGATGGAGAGGGGCAGGGGAGGGTAAAACTAGCATGCTGTGGAGGCAGATGACATCCTCCTTATCAGCTGTTGATGTCATTGGTTGTCAGGTTCGCCAATGGCTAGAAGGTTGTGATGGTGCGCAATGAAAACCTGTGACTTTGTGTAACTAAAAGGCAGGCTTGTTCCATCTACTGGCTTGTATATGTGTTTTGGGCAATCTCTACACATTTTGCCAGGGCACTCCTGAAGAAACCTCAAGGCACCCCAGGATGCCTGGGCATCTTGGTTGAGAAAGACTGTCTTAAACTGTGAAGGGGGTTCTTTACTGGTATAGCGGTGAGGATGAGGAACTCCCTTCCACAATTGGTGGGGTCAGTGGGAAGTATAGATCGTTTTATAAAACTCTTAGATGGGTATCTTATTGAATGTAGTGCACAGGGATATGGGATATTATTGACACATGCATATCTTTTTTGAGTGTGTTAGTCTAAAAATAAATAGTGTTACTTTTAAAATTGTGTATTTTATTATTTAATTTGTTATATTTACAATTACGCTAAAACTATGATTCTGGTAATAGCATTGCAAAGATATTTACAAATGAAATAAAGTGTTTGTTTTTTAAATTTTGTGCTATTTATAAATGGGAAATGTGTAAATGTATGTTAAATGTGAAAACAAAAGTATCAAAGGAAACAAAAAAAAGCTACAGTATTAAGTTAATAAAATAGAAACAAAAAAATCAGCAGGAAAATAATAGTTGACGAGCGAAGGAGACTATGGAGCTAATTAGGGCTGATTAGAGTAAACTAGGGGTTAATAAGGGGTTAAACAGAGGAATATTTTATTTAAAAAAAACTTTTTTTTTTTAATTGTCAGGTTGCTTTAATTATCATCATCTGCAGATTTATGTTCATCCCTTTGATCTGCAGATGAATGAACAGAAAGATACAAATGTAACAATCTGTTACTCTGTATGTTTGTATAATCAGGGCCTGGAGCTGTATTATTTATAAACACTGTCAGACTGCTTTTATTGACAGCTACAGCCGCCACTTGTTCTCTGAGTATACTGCGTCTTTGTAGCAAGAGATGCCATGTAACAATTTTATTGAACACTAGAGCAGGGGTAGGCAACCTTTAAAGAACGGTGTGCAGAAAAATGTTTTTGCAAAGAAATTGAGAGTGCCAGTTATATAAAAAAAAGTCAACTTTACACGCCTCAATCATGGAAAGGATTTTTTATACAGTAAATACTGTAAACTATTTGAATAACAGTAAGAAAACATTAGCTTTCAAGGATGGTACAGTAAATGGTAACTTACCTCTTTTCCAGAACACATGTGCTGTGAGGCAAGTATGGTAAAGTTGAAATGAATATGTCAACCGAGGAAAATATACAGTTGAAAATGAAGTGTGAGGTGATAGTGGTCACCCTAATAAAGTTCTCTCAGATCAAACCTATGCACCTTCAGACCGTAAATCATTCATTCCTGCACCTTCACACCTCAGATCACCCCAATTCCTGCACCTTCATACCTCAGATTACCCCAATGCACCCTGCACCCCTTCACACCTCAGATCACCCCAATTCCTGCACCTTCACACCTCAGATTATTCCTGCACCTTCATTCCTGATCACCCAATTCCTGCACCACCTCAGATCACCCCAATTCCTGCACCTTCACACCTCAGATCACTCCAATTCCTGCACCTTCACACCTCAGATCACCCCAATTCCACCTTCACCTTCACACCTCAGATCACTCCAATTCCTGCACCTTCACACCTCAGATCACCCAATTCCTGCACCTTCACACCTCAGATCACCAATTCCATGCATCACAGACTCCAATTCCTGCACCTTCACACCTCAGATCACCCCAATTCCTGCACCTTCACACCTCAG